GCACTGTCGGAGGGTCAGTGCTGAGGGAGCGCCGCACTGTCGGAGGGTCAGTGCTGAGGGAGCGCCGCACTGTAAGAAGCTGTGTAGTGTGGAAATTCCCCAATTATTTTTCCAGAAATGGTGGTAATGTCTGTCATTGTGACTGATATATGAATGCTGAATGCCAAAATCATTTCCAATCCTGCCATAGCAGAACGTGGGATCTTAATGCAGGCAAAGTATGGAATTAAATCCCAGCACTATAGTCAACCATTATGATTGTTGTAAAAACCAATCTGGTTCTCTAATCCCCTTTAAGGAGGTAAATTTGCCATCCCTTACCCGCTCTGGCCTACATGTAACTCTAGGCCATATCGTTGACTGTTTCTTGGCCCCTGGGTGATTTGGAATAGGCAATAACTGCTGGCCCAGAATGTGATTTGGTTTATTAAAACTGCTATTGATACTGAAGGGTGCCCATCCCCGGCCTGTCTGTTGCCATGGTTACCGTTCAGGCCTACCTGAAGATGGCAGGTGACCGATAATTTGCCTCCATCATTACATCCAACACTGATGACCCCAGAGGCACCGTCAGCACCAGCGAGTGGGTGAATTTGTTAAATACGGCCTCCATCACGGTGTAGTTGACCGTGATGAGTTGGTCAGGGGACGGACTCATGGGGGTGTTTGGCGATGAGTGTGGCGCCAGGGTGGCGGAGGAGATGGTGAACATCTCTGTGGGATCCACAGGGTCAATGGCAATCAGTCCCCCTCGAGCTACAAAGGGCAGGTCATCTGCAAAAGAGAAAGGCCATCACATTAGGTCACCAGTGAGAGAGAAAGAGGTAGAGAGAGAGAGAGCGAGAGAGAGAGAGCGAGAATTACACTGACTGAGAGAGACAGAACAGGAATGCAAGAGAGACAGAGACAGACAAACTGAGAGAGACAAAATGGGAGGGAGAGAGAGACAGACAGACAGACTGAGAGAGCAACAGAGTGGGAAAGAGAGAGAGAGGAGAGATTAAGAGAGGCAGAATGGGAAAGAGAAAGAGAGACAGAGAGATAGAGATGAAAGACTGAGGGAGACAGATGTGAAAGAGAGACGGAGACAGAGAGCGAGGAGAGACTGAGGGAGACAGAAGGGGAAAGAGAAAAAAGAGAGAGAGAGAGCGAGACAGAATGGGAGAGAGGAGAAGAGACTGAGGGAGTCAAATTGTGGGGGAGAGAGGGAGAGAGACGGAGAATTGAGGAGGAAAGTCTGAGGGAGACAGAATGGGAAAGAGACAGAGAGTGAGAAACACAGATTGAGTGAGACAGACTTGGAGAGAGAAACAGACAGACAGACAGAGGAGAGGCAGAGTGGGAAAGAGAGAGAGAGAAAGAAGAGTCAGAAAGAACGAGAGTGAGGGAGAGGCTAGAGAGAGAGAAACACAGAGAGTGGAGGAGGCACTGAGGGTGAGAGAGAGAGACCGAGAGAAGAACAGAGAGAGGAAGAGATGCGAGAGAGGGAGAGAGAGTAAGACAGAGGGAGGAGATTGAGAGCGACAGAATGGGAGAGAAGGAGAGAAAGAATGAAGTTGATAGATACAGTGAAAGATGGGAAGAGAGTATGAGAGAATGAGCAAGTGAATGCGTTTGAAGTGAAAAAGACAGCTAGAGTGAGAGAGAGAGAGTGTGTGGAAGAAAGACAGAAATGAGACAGAAGGGAAACAAGATGTGAGTGGGGGAGAGATTAAATGACAGAGGGAGAGAGAGAGAGAGAGAAAGAATAAAAGAGAGACAGAGGGAAGCAAGAGTGGGTGAGAGAAATGGAAACTGAGAGGTAAAGAGAGAGATATAGAGAGAGTCAGAGACTGTGAGAGAGACAAAGAGACAAACAGAGAGAAAGACAGAGAAGAGAGAGAGAGTGAGAGACACAGAGTCAGAGAGACAGAAACACAGGCAGACAGACAGAGACAGGGAAGGAGAGAGAGACAGTGACATAAAACAGTGACAGCGAGTGAGAGATAGAGATGCAGACAGAGAGGGAGGCAGAGACAGAGAGATAGAGATAGAGAGAGAGAGACAGACAGAGATAAGGACAATGAGAGAGAGATGCAGACAGACACACAGAGAGAAAGAGAGAGAGGGAGAGAGAGAGAGAAAGAGAGATAGTGATAGGGAGACCGGAGAGAGACACAGACAGAGAGATAGAGACAGTGAGAGTAAGTGAGAGAGAGAGAAATGCATACAGACAGAGGGAGGCAGACATAGAGACAGAAAGAGAGACAGAATGAGAGAGATAGAGACAGTGAGAGAGATGGAAACAGAGAGATAGCAATAAAGAGAGACAGACAGAGAGTGAGTAGAAAAAGAAATTCCCTTTTCCCTGATTTTGGAATTCCATCACTAACCAACATCGGTGGAGCAGTTCAGCATGTCAATATCCAGGAAAGTTCGGTTTTCCAAGGCAGGAACCACAAGGGACACTGCTTGGGGATTGTCAAATGTCCCACTGGAGATTCCCTCCAGGAGCTTCCCGATGGATAGCTGACAGTCCCAGGATCCAGGAGGAACCAGGTCCCCATTCGCATTCAGGGCCTGGCAGATAGAACAGAGGGTCAGCGGATCTCTCCACTGGAGCCTTGGGCGGCACAAACAACAACCTGCATTCATGTAGCACCCTTTAACATCACAGGGCACTCCACACAAATCAGGTAAAGTCTCTCAACTGTCACCAAACAGCCCGGTTTTCAAGAAATATGTTTGTTTTAGGGAGTATCTTAAAGATGGAGAGAGAGATGGGCAGCGAGAGAGAGAGAGAGAAAGATGGAGAGGTGTAGGGAGAGAATTGCAGAGATCAGGATCCCAGGCAGCTGAATGGGAATCAGGGAATATTCAAGAGGCTGGAATTGGAGTGATGGTCTTGGGAATTCCTCACATTTGATGGAACAGAAGAAACAGAAGCAGTTGATGCTGTTCGGAACATCAAGCCTCTTCTTACATTAGGCAAGATTATGGGCTGATCTTCTCCCTTATCTTCACTTTCACACCCTCATCCTTCATTCTCTCCTGCTCTCTCAACCTCTCATCTTCAATCGACTCATTGACCAAGCATCCAGTCTCTCTGGGACAGAGAGCATTCCAACATTCCCCATTCCCTGAGGGAAGCAATCTCTCCTCAGTTTCTAGGTTCAACCAGCTGGGGAATGGGGAAGGGTGGACAGAGAAAGGTTACCTCAGAGTACAATAGGACCTTGATCAGATGGGCCAATGGGCCGAGGAGTGTCAGATGGAGTTTAATTTAGATAAATGTGAGGTGCTACATTTTGGGAAGGCAAATCAGGGCAGGACTTATACACTTAATGGTAAGGTCCTGGGGAGTGTTGCTGAACAAAGAGACCTTGGGGAGCAGGTTCATAGTTCCTTGAAAGTGGAGTCGCAGGTGGACAGGGCGGTGAAGAAGGTGTTTGGTATGTTTGCCTTTATTGGTCAGTGCATTGAGTATAGGAGTTGGGAGGGTCATGTTGGGGCTGTACAGGACATTGGTTAGGGCCACTTTTGGAATACTGTGTTCAATTCTGGTCTCCCTGCTGTATTGTGAAACTAGAAAAAGTACAGAAAGGATTTACAAGGATGTTGCCAGGGTTGGAGGGTTTGAGCTACAGGGAGAGACTGAATAGGCTGGGGCTATTTTCCCTGGCGCGTCAGAGGCTGAGGGGTGACCATGAGGGGCATGGATAAGGTGAATAGACAAGATTTTTTACCCCAGAGTGGGGGAGTCCAAAACTAGAGGGGCATAGGCTTAAGGTGAGAGGGGCAAGATTTAAAAGGGACCTAAGAGGGTGGTGAATGTATGGAATGAGCTGCCAGAGGAAGTGGTGGAGGCTGGTATAATTCAAACATTTAAAAGGCATCTGGATGGGGACATGGATAGGAAGGGTTTAGAGGGATATGGGCCGAATGCTGGCAAATGGGACAAGATCAGTTTAGGAAACTTGGTCAGCACCGACGAGATGGGCTGAAGGGTCTGTTTCCGTGCTGAATAACCCAATGACTCTCAATGACCCCAACAAACCCTCTGAAGAATTATATGTCTCTCATTCTTCCAAACTCCGGATAATGTGGAGCCCCTATTCTCCTCACTAACCTGTCTGAGGAAAACTTTTCATTGCAAGAAACAAATCATGTGGATCTTCACTGCATTGCTTCTGATGTTCCCCATCCTGTTTCAGGTGTGCTCTCACCAAATCCCTGTACAACAGGAGAAAAACCTCCAAATCCCCTGTCCTCCAAAATCCTGGAATTCCCTCCCTAACGGGCATTGTGGGTCTACTTACAGCATATGGACTGTGGAGGTTCAAGAAGGCAGCTCACCCCCACCTTCTCAAGGGGGCAACTAGGGACGGGGCCAATAAATGCTGGGCCCAGACAGTGGCGCCCATATTCCATGTTTGAATAAAAACAGAATGCAGTTGCCTTGCCCAGTGCTGGCTCTTAACTTTCAATGATTTGCACTTGGAACTCCGAGTTGAATAGACTCCCATCTCTTTGCCCTGCCTTTCCACTCTTGAGCAACGACATCTCTCCACATTCTGCTCCATGTGCTACCTTGTTGCCCACCCACTCCGCCCGTAGATATCCCTTTGGAACGTCATTCAGTCCTCCCACACCTTAAGACCCCCACCTCACTTTGTAGCATTTGCAAACTCAGAATGCATTGCATTCCATGCCCCCATTGGTAACGTTTGGGAATAGTTGAGACTCTATCACCGAGTCCTATGGTACACCATAGTTACAACTTCCCAATTCAAAACTGAATCAATCTGTTTTGTATCTAGGAGCCAGTATTGTTGGATCAGGGAGAGTCATCACCAAAGCCCCAGAGAAGAGAGAGATAACTGGGCAATTGGATATCAGAAAGCCAAGGCTAGATCCAACGGTGAGCAATGACCTGGATAGCGAGGCCAGTGGTGTTGAGGTCTCCAATTGTCCCATCACTGTGAACGTTAGACAGGATCCGCGTCACCACACTCTGCAAGGCTGACATCGTCTTCTCTGTTCGACAGTCGCAGTTGTCAAAGCTCATACACCTCAAGGCCAGGGCAGCAATGGACAGGATATCTAGGGGGCAATCAAGCGTCACATCGGTATATGTTAAAGACATCTCAAAGAGTAAACCTGTTTTGCACATACTCAGAGCACCGTGCACAGCTCCAGTCTCCGTATCCCTCAGTTAGACCCACGCTCGGAGCACCGTGCACAGTTCCAGTCTCCGTATC